TTAGAAGAGAAAGATTAGTTTAGTCCACCTAATCTTTTGTCTCGTTTTACCCTATAGATTCATTAACTAATTGAGGTACAATCGTCTAACTATATGATTAACTAGGATTATAATTATGCACAATAAAATAAAAGCTAATCACGAACGGAAACCAAATATAGACTCAAACTTCAAAATTCCATAAATTCATGAACAATAGTTCCCATAGCCCTAGCTATGGACTTAGTTATTCATGATAAATGAAAGAACTAAAATAATCATAAACAAAGTCATAATCAAAAGAAATAACAAACTAAAGTGTGAGATGAGTTCCTGGTCTTCAAGTACGACTGCTTGAAACTTCAAGTTCTGCCAAGAGAATGCCAAAGGTCCCGAGATGAGAAGTGTATCCGAGAGTCAAAGACAAAATATAAACGATGAAGTGAGGCAGAACTAAGAAGGGGAAGAAGGTGTGTAGAGAAGTGAAAAAAGTGTGGAGCATAAGGCCTCTTTATATAGACTATGTCCTAAGTTTCCAGTTGGTTGAACTCTATCTTTTCAAATTAGTTTTATCCATAATCAGAATCGCTCCAAATCTTCATATCTAAGTTTGAATTTTAAATTCAAAATTCAAATCCAGCTTCACATAGCACAACCAAGGACTAAAGAATCTAATTTTTATCTAAAATATCTTCATAATGCACTAATAATAACTTCCAACTAAACTGCAACAATTAATAACATAATTAGTGTAAATATATATAAATAGAGTTTAAATGTATAAATATAAGTAATAAAATATATCAAAATATAAACTTATCAACTCCCTCATACTTGAGATTTGCTTGCCTTCAAACAAAAGTCTTGGCTAACGAATAAAGAAACAATTTGAAACATATCATCAAAACAAGAAACCCAAAATAACAGAGATACAAATAATACAACAGTAATATCACCGAGTTAAAATAATCAAAAGGCATTTAAAATTTTATATTCTCTATCTTCTTGCTCGATCATCAAACTGTGATACTCTACTTTTTTCTCTCTCTCTCTTTCACTGTATAAGGATGAAAATAAAGAACGCTCAGTCCCTCTAAGAAGAAATATATTACCATAAGCTTAATGATAGACCAACTCTCCACTAAGTCAATTGAATGCAATGAAAAATCATGAGGTCTTTTATATGTTATAATGTGACCAAAAGGTTATAATAATTAAGGTGAGATAAAATGAAGGAAAAGAATACATAAGGGGTTAACTTAATTAAAATAATCACAAATATCCCCTAGGTTTATAAATGAAGCTCTTAGCGTATCACACAACATCTGAATCAAATACAGCAACAAGTGGAGGACAACAATCGGGCATATACACACATATACTACCAGATAGCGGCAAACCATCGAGCCTACACTAGCCTTAATGAATCTTTCTATCGCTTTATCCTATACCAGCATGTAGGAGAGACTTCAACATTTCCATGGCCAACCCCAGAGGATTTTGCAGTTGTAGTGTCATGACCTGGAAACACACCTTCCTTCCCAAATAAACCTAATACAAATCATGAAAATGGTGGACCGCAAGAAGAGGAAGCAGAAGAAAGGGGAGAAGGAGAAGGGGAAGTAGAAGAAATGGAAGCACAACTTGATCATGAAGGTGGTGATGGGAAAGGAGATCACATGGAGGACGACCAGCCTATTCATGATGATGTTGCTTTAGAAGATGTATGGTCATCTCACAAGGACATAAAATGCATTCTGCTTCTGGTTCCATCATACAGTTTTCAGGTTAGCTTGGGGGAGGATTGTTTTGAATTAAATTGTAAACAACAGAAAAAAATAAAGAATAATTCCAACGAAATATGAACTTCAACCAATTCAAGATCTCAATCACTACAATGCAATTCTCATTGTTACAAGAATACAATTCCAATGAATTTTCAATCAACACCAATTCAATTTGACATTAACAATTCGAAATCTAAATCTAGATTATGAATTCGATCAAAACAAAAACTGCAATCGAAAATCCAATGCTCTAACAAAATTTAGAATAATTGATTGATTGAATTAGGTGAATTCATTTATTTCGAATATGAAATTCTCATTCTCTGTTTAGGTTGCAAACGAAAATTCAATATCATGAAAACCGTAATTATCCTAATCAGAAAAAGAGGAGGAAGGGAGAGAATTCGATAGAACCTAATTTGAAACTCCAATGCAATGTAGTTCTTGAAACCTTGAACTGATTAATGGATTAGCCTTGCGTCATGATCATGCTTACTTCGGCCAAAACCAGAAAACACGAGAAGATGAAATGTAGAGAGACGAAAATAAAAGAGAGGAAAAGAAAGAATTTAGAATAGAGACTTTTTGAATTCTAAAAAATGAGGGAAGAGATTCCGTACATGAAGTCATAACCTCCATTTAAAGACAAAATAATTAGGCTTAATTAAGGCCCAACTCCCTAATGAGGTTCCTAAACACCTAACTAAGTAATATAAAAAATACAATCAAATTCTGAAAATTTCAGTGCAAGGCCACAACATTGTGACGCAATTTTGGGCCTGAAGATGCTCAAACCGGACTTTTCTCCTAACAGAGAAGTTGTAGATCTCTCTCTTATCTTTCCAGGTATACAAATTTTGTTCAATTTTGAGTAGTGTAGCTTCAGATATGGTCTTTGCAAGAAACTGTGTCAAAATAGGAAATTATGGCGGAAATTAAGAAAGATTTACATTTAAATCCTAAATGACCTACTAACACAAATCTAAACTAACACATAAAAATAACACACTAATGAGACTCAATTAAACAAAAAATATGGAGAGAAAGATGTACTAAAATATGACTATCACCCCCCAATACTCGTTTAAGCTCAAAATGTTCGCTTAAGCCATTTTATAATAGCTTAAGCTAGTTTATCAGTCCAAAAAAGCATTCTCTCTGCATTATTTTTATTCGCTCAAGCTAAAATATATCCACTTAAATTATTGGTTCATCTGCTTAAGCCAAGCCATGCACGCTTAAGCAAAAGTGTAATCCTGGGAGGTATGCTCTTTGTTTTTTTAGGCTTAAGCCATTAAGATATTGCTTAAGCTCATTATTTACTCGCTTAAGCCTTAGAAATGTGCGCTTAAGCCCACAACTCACTAGCTTAAGCCAAATCAAGCATTCTTAAGCAAGTTTGTAATCTTAGGAGGTAGGCTCTCTATTATTTTTTGCTTAAGCACCTATATTTTAGCTTAAGCACATTAAGCACTTGCTTTAGTTCATTGTTTCGCTCCATACATGTAGTACTCGCTTAAGCCTTTATTCGCTTAAGTTAAGACATATGGACTTAAGCGAAAATTGTAAAATTCGCTTAAGCCTTGTCAAATTGCTTAAGCTAACGAAGAACTGCACGTGCAGTTCCCACGTCAGCTGCACTGGATTCGTATCCGATAAAATCATGTAGCACTTTTTATACTCTTGGAAACTCCACCTCTTATTTACTATGTTGTGACACATTTCTAACCTTCCTAATTTATTGCTTCATAATACATTATTTCCATTTTTACTTTCATTTGAGTTATTACAGTGTGGTCTAGTTAATTTTCAACTGCCCTTACTCTATACATTATTATCTTTTTCGGCTGGTAATTAAGTATTATTTTAACATTTTTTTTTATAGATTAGATTATATCTACTCCTATTCATTGTTTTTGAAGAAACTCAATTATTCAACTAGTATTACCTTGAATGTTTACAAATATGAGAATTTCAGTGTGGTATTAGTGTAGCATTAGTATTAGGACAAGCCTTTCCATTTCGATGACTTGGTGAAGTTGGGTCACAAACTTTCTTATTGCTTCTTTTTGCATTTGGATTCCCTTGAATATAAATGTATTAGATAAAGTCAGATCTTGATAAAATGGCTCTAAGATTTTGATAATTAGCATAGTATTAATATTTAATTGTAAAGTATGAGAATTGAATTTTGCATAAAATTATAAATTTACAATGTGAGGTTTATATACCTTAAACTCTTCAATTATAATGATTAAATTTTGTGCTCAAATTTTTTTAAAACTCTTATAAGAGCTTTCTCCTATATCTTACAATAGCAACTGAAGAGTGCATGAACATGGCTAATGCATAGTCACTTCAAATGAGTACCAAAACTCTAAACCATGATATAATGGTAAGATTTAATTGCAAGATATGAAACTTAAATTTTATATTGTAAGTATGAAATTCTATTGTAAAATTTATAAAACCTCAGATTCTCCAATAAAAAATAGTTAGCTTTTGTGACATAATTCTCTCAATTTTTTAAACATTATGATGGCTAGCTAATTTTCACCATTGATGTCCTCTTTTCAAGTAAAAACACATTAATTTAGCAAAACAATATATTAATCTTGCTTCTTCCTAATTAAAGGCCTTCGAGCACAATTTTGTTTTTATCACAATCACTTCTTTTTTATATGTTCTCTTTGTTTAACCCAATCATAAGCCTATAAAAAGTCTCAAACCCCAAGATTCTCAGCTTTGCGAATAACAAAAATGAAAATACATGGTCACTTTTTTTTTATTTGACTTTTATTAGAAAAATAGTTTTTCTATTATTTTTTTAAGCCTCGTCATGGATAATTATTAATCAAAAGTACTTGTTATGTTGTTAATATTTTTGTCATTATATATGTATAAGTCATCATATTTTTTCTTGTCTTGGATTAAAAATAATTTGATTTGTTATATTTCATGTAAAATTTTTACTTAAATTCTTTTAAAGTGGTATCGCAATTAGTGTTTCGAAGTAGCCGATAACTACCATGAATACTTTCCAAGGGTTTGTCTCTATTAATGGAAAAAAAAGGATGAGGGACCCTCTGTTCAAGAAGAAGATTTGAAAGAAAGATCTATGAAGAAAGTCAAAGTCGACAATCCTTTGCTTATTACTCAAGAACCAATGGATGATGCTATTGTTGCGGTTAATGAAATGGAGAAAGAAGATCAATTCACAATCATGCCTCTTATATGGCTTCCCTTATGCATAGCATCAGTGATAAGTCCCAAGGAGGTTTTATTAGTGATGATGAGGATCTACCGAAGAATAAATGGTATAAACAGGATGAGGATATGAGGGGGGAGGAGGAATTCGATCCATGCCTAGAAATTGAAGTGTTGCAAGAAGAGTCCAAAGAATGGTGTAAACCATGGAGAGGCTCCCTGATTGTGAAAGTTTTTGGGAAAAGAATTCATCCACGCATATTGGAGAACAAGTTAAAGAGGGATTGGGTAAGGGCTGGATCCATAAAAATCATTGACTTGCCCAGGGACTATTATATTGTGAGCTTCACGGATGAAAATGATTATAAGCATGCACCCTATGAAGGACCTTGGAAGGTTGCTGACCACTACTTGATCGTTCAAAGGTGGAGGCTGTTCTTCTTGAAAACAGAACAAAAGGTACGAAAGATAGCGGTGTGGGTGAGGATTCCAGGTCTTAATATGGAGCTTTATAACACAAATTTTCTGAGAAGAGTTGGGTCGAAGATAGGAACCATGTTGAAGGTTGATCAAATAACATCGATACATTCTAGAGGAAGATTTGCTCGTATTTGCGTTGAATTAGATATACGGAAGAAGCTAGTTCCTCAAGTTAAAGTTTGGGGTGTTGCGATGAATTTGGAATATGAGGGTCTCCATCAAGTTTGCTTTAATTGTGGTCGTTATGGTCATAAACAAGAGTGGTGCTCGGAAAAGAATCTAGATCCTCAGGTGGATCCAACGGTGGTGCAACCAGAGGAGGGAGCCATGGAGATGAGTTCTGTCGGAAACAATTTGGGAAATACAACGCAAATCAAGGAGAAAGATGTGATGATTAATAATAATGAGTTGATTACGCTGTCTAGTGCTATTGAGAATGGAAAGAATCTTCCCAAGGAAAAAGAAAACTCGTTCAGTCCTTGGATGCTTGTGAAACGTGCGGTTAGAAAAAAGGAAAGAATCACCACGCAAGGAAGAGGAGTTAATTACACAGGAGGAAATAAGGGTAACCAGGCCAAGGGATCACGCTTTAATGCTTTACATCAAGAAGAATCTGAAATGGATGTTGAGGAGATTATGGTTGAAACGGTCACTGATATGCATGAAGGCCATGTTGTCCATGTGTAACATGAGGAGAGTGGCCTCACTCAAAATAATAGAAGAAATGAGGCCAAGTCTAGTAAAGTTAAAAGCCCATTGGTGGCAAGAATCCTCAACAAAAGAGTGGGAAATATATTCAAGCCCAACCTTTTGAAAAGAAAATTAAATCCTTAGAGAAAAATAAGCCCAACTCCATCACTCCAACTAGTGTCCCTGGCTCCTCTAGGAAAGAGACAGTGAACTTTTCACAACATGAAATCACCGCCGAACAGAGAGAGAAGAAAAGAAAGGATGAGCCAAACTCTTTGCATCTCATGAAGATTTACGAAAAAATGCACGACAACTCTCTGGATCAATTCGCGGTTCACACTATCCTTCCTAACAGAGATGCCATCAACTTCATTCAAAATCATGCTTCTACAAAAGGTACAGTAGAGAAGCCGCTAGACCCTCCAGACCCATCTGCAACCCCAAATTCAAACATGGAGATAGAAGTTTGCAACGACTCTAGCGGATCCATAAAATGTGACAAAGAGATGATGGTCGCACGCTGTAGTGGCTCTAAGAACCAAATAGGTACTCATGAACTTGTTATGTTGGAATTGTAGGGGTACTAGCAGTAAGAGTTTTCCTAGAATTATTAGAGATCTTCGTAATATGCATAGTATAAATTTTGTTATTCTGATGGAAATGCATACTAGTGGTGAAAAGGCAGAAAAAATTATTCGAAAAATCGGGTTTGATGGTTCTACTGTTAGTGAAGCTCGTGGCTATACAGGTGGAATTTGGTTTCTCTGGGACACTAATTTTTGGAAAGTTGATGTCATTTCAAAGAAGTTTCAGTATGTGCATTTACGGGTTCAGTGGGGTAATAAAGATCCTTGGTTTTTTACAGCAATTTATGGTAGTCCTCAAATGCATTCCCGAAGAGCTGTTTGGAGTGATATTCAGGGTATTCATAGCACGGTTCATGGGCCTTGGTGCATTATGGGCGACTTCAATACTACTCTCCATTCCTACGAGTGTAAGGGAGGTAATACTAATCGCTCCAATAGTGATAGTGCTAGATTTCAGGAGGTCATTAGAAATTGTGATCTTATCGATGCTGGACAAGGTCCTTTTTAATATGGATTGGAGGGTTATGCATGAATGTATGACAATGTACCATCTTCCTAAATTGAAGTCAAACCACAACCCTCTTTGCCTGGTTTTCAGCGAGGAACAAGGTCTAAATAGAAGAAGGAGACCCTTCCGTTTTCTGGCTTTATGACTTACGCATCATGAGCTATCCTCAGTGGTTAGTGCTTTCTGGAATTCAGGGTCTTCATGGGGAGAAAAGATTATTGCTACTCAACAGGGCCTTCAGAAATGGAACCAAGAAGTTTTTGGTAACATCTTTTATAAAAAGATGAGGATTATGAAGAGATTGAATGGTATTGAAAGAAATCTGGCCGGTGGTCGCAACAGTTTCTTGGAAAAACTTCAAAAGAATCTGTGGCATGAGTATGATAGGAATCTCATCCAAGAAGAAATTTTGTGGTTCCAAAAGTCCAGGTGCAAATAGATTAAATATGGTGACCGGAACACAAAGTTTTTTCATGGTACCACTTTGGTTAGGAGAAAAAGAAATAAGATAGAATCATTGCAAAATGAGATGGGAGATTAGATTACTAATGCGGATCAGTTGGAGGTGCATGCAATGAATTATTTTAAAGACTTTTACAGGAACAACACGGGTTATGACAATTTTTTCCTTCATAGGGCGTTCCCTCCTCTTCTCGATCACCAACAACGATTAATTAACAGGGACATCTGTGATGAGGAGATCAAACAGATGGTTTTTGCTATGGGTGGCTATAAAGCGCCAGGCAAGGATGGTTTGCAGGCTATTTTTTACCAGAGCCAATGGGATACGATAGACCCTTCTCTTTGCAGGTTAGTTAAAGATATCTTCCTTAATCCTTCTAAGATTAAAGAGATTAATGACACGCTGATTAAGCTGATTCCTAAAATTGAGTTGCCTGTCAATATTAAACAGTTTAGACCTATTAGTTTATGCAATGTCTCGTATAAAGTGATTACAAAAATGTTAGCTACTAGATTTCATAGTATAGTGTACCATATTGTGAGTCCTAACCAGTGCAGCTTTGTTCCGGGGTGCCATGGGAGTGACAATATTATCGTTGCTCAAGAAGCTATTCATACCATGAGGAAAAAGAAAGGTAAAAAAGGTTTCATGGCGATTAAAATTGATATGGAAAAGGCATATGAAATGCTGAAATGGGATTTTGTGATTGATACGTTGCGGGATATAGGGATTGGTGACTCCCTTATTCAGCTCATCTGGTATTGTATCTCTTCCTCCTCTATGAATTTAATTTGGAATGGTGAAGTGCTTGATTCCTTTACCCTTGAGAAATGTATTAGGCAAGGAGATCCTTTATCTCCCTATCTTTTTGTCTTATGTATAGAGCGTCTTTCTCAACTTATTCATGTTGCTGTTGAAAATAAATTTTGGAAACCTATCCAGTTAGCTCGTGGTGGACCACAAATTTCCCATCTAGCTTTTACAGATGACTTAATTCTCTTTTCTGAAGTTAGTATGGAGCAGGTGGAAATTATTATTGCTTGTTTAGACTTATTTTGTAGAAGTTCAGGAAGTAAAGTTAATAAAGATAAAACTAGAATTTTCTTTTCCAAAAATGTTCATAATAATGTTCGTCAGCAGGTTAGTGATGCCTTTGATTTTTCAAAGGATTGATGATTTGGGGAAGTATTTAGGTATTCCTCTATTTCACAAAAGGGTTTCAAAAAGTACTTTTCAGTATGTTATTGAGAAAGCTAACAATAGAATGAATTCTTGGAAAGCAAAATTCTTTCCTTTGCAGGTCGCCTTACTCTAACTCAATCGGTCCTTGGAGCTTTGCCATCTTATGTTATGCAGACTTCCTTGGTCCCTAAAGATATCTATAAAAAGCTGGACAGCGTTAGCCGATCGTTCCTTTGGGGAGGTACTCAAGATAAGAAAAAAATCCACCTTGTTAAATGGGACAGCATATGTAGATAAAAGACTTTTGGAGGCCTCGGCCTTCGCAAAGCTAGGAATCTGAACATTTCCTTCATGATGAAGCTTGGCTAGGGCCTTATGATGTAGAGGGATGCACTTTGGGTTCAAATAATCCGACATAAATATAAGTGCGGGGATGATCTAATTCTGATAATAAAACAAAGAGCAAATGATTCAAATACTTGGAAGGGCATCTGCAAAGGATGGAACTAGGTGAAGGATAACATTATTTGGAGGGTTGGAGATGGGAAAACAATTCGTTTCTAGAAAGACTTGTGGATAAAACAAGCAGGGGTGTTGTTAAATCATGTTACTTATACTATAGAAGATCTAGATCAGGAGAAAAAGATTTGTGAGCTTGTTTCACCGTCAGGAGCTTGGGATATTGGTTATATGACAGGTAAGATCCCCCAAGATTTAATTAATTATATTATTTCTTATATGCCTTCTTCTATTGCAGGTGAGGAAGATGGCATTGGCTGGAATCTAACAAATGATGGTTGGTTTTCCATCTCCTCCGCTTATACTTGTACGGATGGCCAGGAAGGAAATGAAGAGTAGATGATTTTTAAAAAAGTTTGGGCTTGGCCAGGACCACAAAGGATCAAAATTCTGCTTTGGAAGATCCTTAACAATGCGCTACTGACAAATGAGAATAGAAGGAAAAGATCTTTGGTTCAAGATGGAACCTGTCCTCTATGTAGCAATGTTGAAGAAATAATGCTCCATGTGTTTCGAGATCGTCTTTATGTGAAGAAGGTCTAGAGGCTTTTTGTTGCAGCATCAAATTGGAGTGCTTTCTATGGGCACGACTGGATTGAGGCCAACTTAGCTTCTAAATATGCTGTTAACTCAATTATTGACTGGACTATTTTATTTGGCTGTGTTATGTGATGAAACAAAATTTGAGTTATTCGTCATGCAAAAGATTGTCGTTAATCCTCATCAAATATGCAAAGAAATGAATGCAGTACTAGGGTGTTATCCTAGGTCGTCTCCAAAGAATTTTTGGTTGGGAACATACATCGAACAAGTGTAAACATGTATTTTAAGGCAATTAAATTGGGGGGAGGTTTGTCAATTTCTGGATTTTAATCAAGAACGAAATGTAAATTAATGAAATTCAATCAATTAAAATGAGTAATCCCTAGTCAAGCAATGAGTTCCATCATTATTCTTTCAAATGATTCAATAATCCCCTTTCTTTCCCTTGAATTAAGTTAATCTAACAAGCGAAGACAAACTTTAACATTCCAATTAAAATTAAGCATCTTAATGGGCTCCAATCTCTATCCCTAAGATTAAGCAACCTCAAGGATTAATCAAAATTAAGCAATTTTGAATTAGAATTTCGTTAGGTAAATTAGGGTTCATTAAGCAATGTTCCCTTCATGCAAATTCCATTTCATTCAGAGATTGGAGTTAATAAATTCAAGGAAAGAAAGATTTGTATTGCAATTAATCCCAAGAATTCAAGATTCATATGCATTGACTAGGAATTACAAGGAAGTTTAGCCCTCCATATGGATGAGCTTCACAAATGAGAGAAAGAAATGCAAGAACGTAAACATCATTAATGTAAGTTCAACAAAAATCAAAAGAGAAATTGGAAATTAAAACCTATAGAGGACCCTTGGCTGTCACCCAAGACTCCAATGTCGTAAGAAATTATCCCAATTTGGCAAGGAAAAATTGTGTAAAGTGTCAAAAGTCCCGTACCCTAATTCCTAAAATCTATTTATAGTGGATGACATGTCACCAAATTGTCCACTTTGGGCCTTGAAAGTGTCCACGCGCAGGATGGAAGGAATGCCGCTTCTCTGGAGTTGCCACTATTTGTGCTGAAAGTAGCTACTTTGGTGCGCGTGGTTACTTTGAGAGCCAATAGTAGCCACGCGCAGGAAAGCTTCAAAATCAGCGTCCTGGAGCTTCTGAAGTTGCCACTTTTGGTCTTGAAAGT